TGGCGGCGTTTAGAGCCAAAGAGCATATTAAAGCACAGAAGAAAATGATCAAAACCATGGCCACGTTAGCCTCGAAGCCATTCGAGTTCGAGTAAGGCCGCCACCTACAAGTGTGAGGATTACACGTCGATTCTGAAACGGAAGACATTTCTGGTTCCCCTGAAGAAAGCTGTGGGGACAACCGTACGAGGCGCTCACCGGTGTCCGCCGCCGCCTCCGTTGATGGCGGTGGTCTCATTTTGTATTAAATTTATGTGGTTTTTAAGCTTTTGATAGGAAGATTTGAGAGAAAAGTAGATAGGGCGATTGCGTGGGAACAGAGACGAGGATGATTTATAGCCATATTTTGGCATCAAGAAATGCATACGTGCGCTCGAGGTTTAATAATTCCTTGTTATTCTATTTAGGTGAATTTAAATAATTCTATTAATAAATAATAGAAATTTATTTAAATTTAAATTTGAATAAATATTCTACTTTATAATTATATTAGAATGTTAAAGAAAAAACCTTGTGTGGTCTTGAATATGCCCTTTCATCTAATGTTCTTTTCTTGAGTCATAGAGTTGAGCATTTATTTGCTTTCTTTAATAGTTTTTAAATATAGTGAATGATCACTCAAAACGCCCAATAATTATTGCAAATTCAAAGATAAAACCTGCTTATAAATGTAAGTACTTTTTAATTATTAGAAATCCTATAACTTTGAAAGACAAGGTAGACCCTACAATAAGCTTATAGAAGAGGGTACTGGAAAAGGGACCCAAGAAAATGAAATTAATTGGTGAGTTTGTTTTTGGTGTCATTCCTGAAAGTGAAAGCTCAAACACGATTCCCTCCGATGTGTGTTCAAGTGAATCGTAATTACAATTTACAATGTTAAATCGGTAAAAAGTTTTGAGTTTTAGTATTCAAATCATAATTTAATATAAAAATGTAAAGAAAGCACGTTTTAATATTTTTTTTTTAAAATGAGAGTATTATTCTCTATAAATATTCTAGTTTCAAACAATTACGTTAAATAAATTTTAAACAAATTCTACTTTATAATTATATCATACTATTAAAAAATATTTTATGGTCCATAAAGCTATTTTTATGTGGATATTATAAGTATATGGGGACAAAAATACGGTCCACGGATGTGATATATGGAGTGGATCAGGCAGAAGGCCAACCAAGCCCCCATTATAACCAGAAACCAAGCGGAAATAAGCAACTTCAAAAGAAAGGCCAAAACAAGGGACATGCCTAAATTTATTGCACATATTCGCCTTTGTCCCCAGGGAATTCCACAGTGGATAGTGCCAGTGGTACCACTCACTCTGCACCTATTGCCCTTGCTTAGAGGTTTCTTTCACTCATGCTACATCAACTTCTACATCGTAAAACGACATCCGATTACAACCGATCATTTTTCGATTCAATCGACGTCTCGAATACAGACTCGTCATTTTCTGTAACTTGGTACTGTTGTTGATCTTCACTATGGATATAATTGAATTCAGAATTGGAGAATGAGAATCAAACTCACTCAGCCCAAGTAGATAATTAAGCTTTTACCTTGAAAGTATGCAAAGGCAAATACCAAAATTACTGCATACAAGCACCATCTCCATTCAATCTCTAGTACAACAGCAACCATAACTACTAGATAAATTCATTAAGCTCACGTGAACTCGATTCTTTCATTCTAAACAGTGTTTATTGAAATACGATGCTAACGACAAAAGAGGAGACAGAAAAACAAAATTCATTTCGATAAAACAAACAAACAAAAACTACTCGCCTATTCAATCGTTTCGGAGATATTCCCCTTCATAATGAACCGGCTTGACAATCGAACTTCACATCATCGCTTCTCTCTCAGTTCCGGGTCTCTAGAGACAAATAATCAAAAGAAGGTTAGATAAGAGTTCAATGTTAAAGGCCTCAAGGGCAACAATTAGCCTTCACCAAAGGTTGAGCCAAACCTCTGAATATGGTCAAGAATAAGAAGCCTGGGTCCAGGGGGTATTTTCACATCTCTAAGAGCACTGAAACACATTAGGCAATTTCAAGGCCATCAGAATAAATATACCAAAGGGTTCATAAAACACTAATTTGAAAGGTAAATTAGGATAAAAACGTCAGTTTCTTGCCTATCGGTGAGCAAAGACAATGTGTTATCGGTTAACAAGCCTTTCTTGAAATTCTTCTCATAGTTCCGGAGGCCAAGACTGTTTAACAAGGATCTTGTTCGGGAATAGTGCACATCATCAGCAGGTGGTTGAGGAAACTTTTGCCCTAACTAAATGACCCTAAGAAAAGGCTGTTAGATATGATACCGCAGGCCAGTGGAGAACTATTTTGAAGTATTATTCCTTATACTCAGCTGTTAATGGGAAAATTTACTCGAGAAGCTCATGGATATAGAAACTCAACAAACTTGATTCAACCTGATCAAATTCATAGCTTTTATAGCAGTAAATAACCAGAAATTAGGGAGCATAATGGGATGATTGATCAACCTGGAAAAGCCCGCCTTGAACGAGTGCGAAAGAAGTCCAGAAGTGACTGCATTTGCAGCCTGATTCGGGCCAGCCATGCCACTAACAAAAGAAAACATGGCCCCAGAACCAAAAGCCGCCACCATGCTGCAATAATAGAATATTTACGTTAAAAAACCATGAAAACCAAAGTAAGTCAAGCAATAGATACACGTTTAAACCAAATGAAATCTACAGTTAGATATTCAAACAACAAGCTTAGAAAATTATCTATCCGTCTTAAGGTTACCTAAGATAAATATACAACAATTTGCAAATAATACTGCCGCGCTAATTTTTTATGGGCGAGAGGAGGTGGAGAAAGCAGATTGCCCCAAGAGAACGCAACATAGACTAATAAAAGTGGGGCACGAGGGGTGGAATCTAAACGAGCGAATGAAAGAAGAAAAAATTTGCATGTATTTGTAATCGGTAGAGGTACCTTAACTGGGGAAAATAAGCTAGTTCCGAATGAAAAAAATCTTCAAAAATTAGTATCTCATTTGCTACAAAAAAATATTGAACAATCAGTTAATCATCCTAAAACTGTACCAATAAAATGTTTGAGAACTTATTTCTATTCATCAGATGCTTACAAAATAGAAAAATAAAAGGATCATGATCTCACATAGACAAATCCAGCCTATTTTAGCTAGAAATGGAAATCAAGTTGGCTCCGGAAAGGAAAATAAAGAGAAAATGCATCCAAACTATAACTTACCGACAAACCACAGGACTAAATGAGTCTTCATCCTTTCCAAAACATAAGACCAAATTCAGTAAAAGCCAACACAGATATATCACCCATAACATTTCCATGGTCTGGAACAAACTGTTCAACCAAAACATTTGTAAATCTAAGACCCTTAAAGAAAGTCATCGATATTTCTTCGCATCTCAATAGGAATCTCACTAGATTCGGTATACATTCGAGGACAAAAACAGATAACAATACATGAAAAAAAACAATTTTATTTTAAGTGTTAGAAACGGGTGCATTTAAAGCCTCATCTGTTGGTATCTTGAATGGGTGTATCGAGCATATTGCAGCATATATCAGCAAGTCATAATCCGATTGAACTATCTAGTTGCAGTATCTGGTAGCTATACAACAACAGAAAGAAAACCAAAGAAGATTAAAAGTCCACCTAGATTGAACATCCTCCTTCCCTCTAAATCTTTTCATAACAGAAACTATGCCAGCATTGACACCAGTCATTTCGGCGAAATTCCGAGCTTGAACCCAGGGACCTCCTGATAGAGCCTGCAATTAAAACGATATGCATCAAATATCAATAAAACCCACATATCCGTTAACAATTCAATACTAATTACAAAACAATTCATTGTTTGTAAACAACAACATAACTCAATTAGCATGTGCACTATCTAAGAACATGGTCCTCCCCAGAATCACACAATTATCACTACATATATATATTCTTTTTCGAGATATGTAATTGGAAGCTACAGTTCTGAAAAACAAGATCGAAATCGCAGATAAAAAAAGAAGACTTGGGCTTGCTTGAGAGAAGACATTGCCTGAGGATTGAGGGAAGCCTAAGGAGGATTTGGAAGAGTAGAGGAGATGTCGTTGGCGAGGGTACCCATGATAGCACCGATAGCAGCACCCTGGGTGGCGCCGGTGGCGGTCACCACTGCCGCCTCGACTGGCATGGTGCTTGGCTTGCACTTGTTCCAAAGGGTTTTGTTGAGCCATCATAAACCTGGAAACCACCGCCATTCTCTGCTCTTTTCCTCCCTCCATCTCACTACAACTTGTGTGTGTAATTCCCTCGAGTAAAGAAGAGAAATTGGAATGATTGCCTGATCCATTTTCTCCGGCTTTGTTTTTTGTTTTGTGATCACTCGTGAATGGGCTTTTTGCCAAAACAATCTTTTCAGCCATTGCTCACGGTCTCTCTTTTTAACAATCTAGCCCAACTATATGTATTTATCTTTAGATATGTATGGGTATTTTATGAAATTTGAATATTAAAATTTTTATTCGTTATAAATTTAAAGTAAATATGAATGTTTTACTTAATATTTGATAAATAATTAAGGGTAAACTAGGCAATGTTGATGTTGTGTTCGTTTTCATCACTGATGTTCTAAAAGTCATAAATCAATCACTAATATTATTGTTTATTATAAATTGATCATTCGATGTTAACTGTCGTTTACCGTAATAGAACGCTGACGTGACATGTTAATATGATTTTTTTGACATTGTTTAACTGAATTATACCATTTTGACCTACCCTTCTTCCTCAACCCAACCCCTGCTTCTTCAACCATGGAAGACCAAAAATGAAAAAACAATGGAACTGAGATAGTCCAAACCAGAAAATGAGAGCTTTTTTATTTGACCATTTTCTAGTTCATTGTTCTTCCATTTGACCAAAACCACAATTTGACCAACACAGTCGACTCCAAAAGAATTGCTTTTTCCAAGTTACTGCTGGGGTTTTCTTCCTTTAAACCCAGAAGCTGCCCCCCATTCAAATTTCAAAGAAGAAATATTTTCTTTTTTTCGTCCAAAAACTGGTAAATTCCTTGCCTTTTTAACTCAGTTACACGTTCCCAATGTTTAAATTTCTCTGCAAAACAGTTCTCCATGGGAGAAACATAGTTACAACCACTCAAAGTCACAAACTTTTAGGATTATCACAGTCTAATTCTCATATACAAAACTAGTTCTTCAAATGAGGATTCATTTACAGTTTCATACCTCAAAAACAAATGTGGGTTGTCCTCGGAATTTGCGTAAGGCCACCAGATACGTTCATTTCGAAACCCCAAAAAAGTCTGACTTTGTGCTTGCTGTTCTCAAAAACCATGGCTTCTCAAATCCCCAAATCACTCGCCTCATCAAGGGACGCCCTGCAGTGCTTACATCAAGTGTTGAAAAAACCATTTTGCCCAAACTTGAGTTCTTAATATCTAAAGGTGTTTCAAACCCCGACCTTGCTCATATCTTCTCATAACCCAACATTTTTGTTCTCAAGCTTAGAAAATAATATAATCCCATTTTATAATTTCCTTAGTAACGTGCTTAAGTCCACTGAGAAGATCATCCGTGCCCTAAAACGCTGTGCGCGCCTCATCGGCTACTGTCTATATGATATGTTCTTATCCAACATCAATACTTTGCTGGATAATGGAGTTGCTGAATATAATATTGCTTCAACATTGTGTTCTGAACCTACAACGTTTTTCAGAAGTCCACATAAGTTTAAGGATTTGACATAGGAAACAAAGGAAATGGGATTTAATCCTTCTAAGCCATTGTTTATGGAAGCACTCTATGTGGTGAGTTCGAAAAGTAAACCGACTGGAAGAGGAAGATTGATTTCTTTAAGAAGTTTGGTTTGTCTGAGGAGGAGGTTTTTCAAGCTTTTCGGAGGTATCCCTCATTCATTTGGATTTTTTGGTTTGTATTATCTCAGTTCCATTGTTCTTTCATTTTTGGTCTTCCATGGTTGAAGAAGAATGGGTTAGGTTGAAGAAGAAGGGTATGTAAAAATGGTCTAATTCAGTCAAATGATGTCAGAAAACCATATTAACGTGACATATCAACATTTCGTTACGGTAGTAAATGACAGTTAACGGCGAGTGACCAATTTATTATAAATGACGGATAACGTTAGAGATCAATTTATAATTTTTTACACATCAATAGTAAAACCGAACAATTATCCAAACATCAGTGACCATTGACATAGTTTACCCATAATTATAATGAAAAGAAAACTAATATTTTTGAATCAAATATACTTCTTGAAGAGTTTTTGTGGGTACCAGTAGCACAGCACTTGGTAAGGTTCGTAGCACTTTCATAGAAGGCCACGTAAGCCGTGTGGACCCCATGCTTTAAGCATGACAACATTTTCCACATGTCAAAGCTTTATTGGACAGCTTACTCATTCACTGATTGTTGACACAAACCTAACATCAACGAAGAAAAGTATAATTACGTAATTAATTTTAGAAAACTATAATATTTTTAAATTATAAATATAATTTAATATTACTATAACTAAAAAAATTAATTCCGACATAAAATTTAAGCTGAGTTTTTGGGTAAAAGTTCGCACTTGCACTATAATATATATATATATATATATATATATATATAGAGAGAGGATAAATTACATAGTTGGTCATTTTGTTTCATTTTTATAAACATACTATCATTAGGTTAAAAAAAGTTAATATACAGTCACTTTTGTTTCATTTTAATTAAGATGTGGTCACTGGATTATTAGTTGTCGTGAGATGGATGACTTGGAGTGTTAATAAAAAAGTTTAATTTTTATTTGAACCCTTAAACTTTAGATAAATTACTAATCATGTGTCTTTTTATAAACCAAAATAATATAGGGGTAAAATATCCATTTATCCCTTTTTTTAATTTTACCTATGAATTATTTTAGGTTTACAAAAAGACCCCATGATTAATAGTTTAATTAAAGTTTAAGGGTTTAAATAAAAATTAAACCTTTTTATAAACATATTATGTCATACACTTCATCGCTTAATGACCACATCTTAATTAAAATGCATATTAATTTTTTGGATCAAATAACCATATATTTATAAAAATAAAACAAACGTAACCATCTACATATATATATATATATATATATATATATATATATATATATATGGAACGCGGCGCGGGTAAATTTGTAGTCGTTGAAATTGAAGAGAATTTATTATAAGCTCTTTCCTGGCTGTTTCATGGACAGTAGCCTATGAGCCATCTTCTTCCTTTTATAACTCTTTGCCGAAATCCTTCCGAGTTCTAATTATTCAGCTTTTCCCTCCCCTTTGAATCTTGTATTCTTCCTGTTGTTCCAAAAATCTTTGTTTCCTTTCAAATTTGTTGTGTTTTTAGCATGGGTGTTCTCTCAGTGAATTCACTCCCCATCGGATTCCGATTTCGACCGACGGACGAGGAATTGATCGACTTTTACTTACGGTCTAAGATAAACGGAAATAAAAACGATGAGATCCAAGCAATTCGTGAAATCGATGTTTGCAAGTGCGAGCCATGGGATTTGCCTCACTTATCTGCTGTAAGGACCCAAGACCCAGAGTGGTTTTTCTTTTGCCCGATTGACCGGAAGTACCCGATCGGAAACCGGCTCAACAGGGCTACGGAGGCCGGTTACTGGAAAGCAACGGGTAAGGACCGGAAGATTAAGTCTGGGCCTAATTTGATCGGCATGAAGAAGACTCTGGTGTTTTATAACGGCAGGTCTCCTCGGGGAAAACGAACCAATTGGGTCATGCATGAGTATCGCACTACACTGCATGAGCTCGACGGCACCAATCCTGGACAGGTTCATCATTTCTTCTTGCTAATGAAAATATGGTCGATTTTGTAGGATTGATGGGAAATTAGTTTACATAATTAACTTCTTTTAACCAGTTAATTGGTGGTTTAGTTGTGCTAATACGTTGTTCTTGATTTACTTGTGTTCTTGTTTAGATCACTTTTTGTTCTCATAGTTGTTTTGATTTCTCCTGCAGAATGCATTTGTAATTTGTCGTCTATTCAAGAAAAAAGATGAGTCCATTGAAGATTTCAACGGCGATGGAGTTGATCCGGCTGTGTCGTCTCCTACCGAAGACATGCTATCGGTGTTAGAAGTGCCTCGAGAGTCTCCTGCAGTAGAAGGGGAAGCCGAAAAAGTATCCGATGCCACCGAAACTCGTCTTTTCGGTTTGCCCGGTGAAATGGTTTCTAAAACCGTCGAACCTAAACTCGAGTGCAACCGGGATGGCTATGAAGCTTATGATGAAATGGATCAAGTGGCAGATATAACCCCTGCAGAGGTGAGCGAGAAAAATCCTGAATTTTGATTTAGATTTTGTGATAATTTTCTACCGAACTGACTTTGTTCGATTTCAGGCGGGTTTACTTGAAGAAGCTTTGAATCATTTTTATGATCCAATTGGAGAACCACTATTCTCTCCATTGCACAACCAGATTGAAGCAGAGCAGGCATTTTGGATGTTTGATCATGTCGGAAACTGTCTCGGTGGGGTGGAGTTTGAGCACGGCACTAATGAACACAATACAGATATTTCGAACTTCTTGGAATCCATAATGAATGATTTGGATGATTCAGAATGTAAGACACCTAAGGCCATGAGCTTTGGTATGGATGGCAGATCATGCGGTGAATCAGTTGGTGAAGTAGCCGAAGTGCTGGTGAGTAGAAGCTAACTAGTTAACTTATTGTTTATCATGCCATATACTCTTGCTTGAAGCATGTCAAGATTCATTCAATGTTATATCTAGTCGTACACCGATGAACTCCGGTATTGTATACGATGCACATACTTTCGTATCTGCATCTCCTAGAATTCCATGTGTTTTCCCTGTCTAAAAACACAAATTTTTCTTTGGAACAGCTAGAGACAGACAAGATCAACATGGGGGCTCCAATAGGGAGCATACAAGGTTGCGCAAATCCGATTTGCATGCAGGATGTCAACTTTTCCAGCATAGTGCCATTCTATAACGCTATAAATAGTGATGGAGAATTCAGCAATCATACAAATACATCTTGTAATGCTGATAGCTCTGTCACTGGAATCAGGATTAGGCCCCGCCCTTCTCGAAGTCATCCAGACAACGAAAACTCAATGATACAGACAAATGCACCACGAAGAATGCGTCTGCAGTGTAACATTCAGGTCCGCTTGGTTCATTACAACGATGCAATAAGTGACTGGAGTAGTGGAGTGAAAGAAGATTATTCGAAATCAGTCGTTACAAAGGTGAGAAGTTTGTGATTGATGCTTGTATAGAAACTCACTGTCGAATCCAGATATGTATCGGACCTTATAAAGTTGTCTCTGCAGGGGGTAGAAGTAGCGGAAAACGGTATCATTGTTGGCTGTGACTCTGATCGTGGCACCATCAACGAATCCCGGGAAACACCCCCTACCGTTTTATTGTCCAAGACCGTTATTTCAGTTCATGAAGAGACTTCATCTCGGTGGTCGAAGTTTTCAGCCCGCGGCTCACGTAAGCCATTAACTGTTGTTTTCCGGGTGGCTGTGCTGTTAATCTTGTTTGTAGGTTTGATTAGCCCATCAAATGCTCGTAACTCAATGATACTTTCGTTGTGTATATAGTTCACTCGTTTCCTTTTGAGGCCATCTTCTAGTTAAAAACTATGGCATTGATTTTGAATGCTAACATGTTATGTATATGATAATATTATATCCATTTAGTTATTGATGACATAGAAGAGCGTATATTTTTGGCATCATTCGAGTTTCGTAACTCTTTCAGTCAACAATATCATCTCTAAAGTTCGAACTTAGGTTAGGTTATCTCTTTGAACTCTGTCAAAATGTCTACAATCGTTGATACTAGTTCCAATAACTAATCGGGATTCATCGACCGACTGCGATGGCGGAAGAAAACACAGAGGCTAAGTGGTGAGCTACGTGATAGCACTAACAATTTACCCGTTGTGTCTTGAGAGCATTGACGGCTTTGCTCCTCGGTACCCCAGCCTGCGTCATGGCCAACTCAATGTCCCTAGGCTCAACCCCCGTCTCGTCCATTTCTTCCTCTTCCTCATCGGCATGTGCATCAGCAGCTGAAGCAGAGGTGTTGGGTTTTGCCATCACAGATGACATGTCTAAGAGGTGTCGGGTTTTGCCATCACAGATGACATGTCTGAGAGGTATCGTGTTTTTCCATCACAGACGACATGTCGGACATATATGAAAAATTTGAAGAAATATATGTAAATTGTATATGATTATAGAAAGTCATTGAAATTAAGAATAATTATTATCATATCATTATAAATATTTATAATTAAATTTAAAAAAAAACTCGAACAACTCAATTTTTTTTAACTAAAGTTATAAAATTAGACTTGTGAACTCGACTAGTGTGAAATTGTTTTACTTTGATTCAATCAAATGATCACACCTATGTATATTTAATCCTTTTTCCAAGTGTTTTCAGGTAATCTTGGATCAACATAGACATCTGAAGCCCGAGGCCCGACCCAAAAATAAGCTAACAAGTTTTTAAGCAGACGTGATCATTTCTATATCGTATTTCTTATAATAATTTGGGTAAATTACACCATGATCACTTAATTATAAGAGAATTTTAATCTGATCATCCATTTTTTCATCAATTAGATCACGTAATTATTTAAATGATGTCTATAAAGTTCGTTGACATTTAATGAAGGAGTTAACGTGGTGGAGTGAGGATCCGTTAAGTAAAAAAATGTTATATTGGTCGAGATGATGAGTTATATTTTATATAACTTAAATTTTATTTGAAATTTTTTCAAGTCGAACCAATTCAAGTTGTTTGAATCTTTGTTCGAATTTAATTATAAATATTTATAATATTATGGTACTAATCAATTCTAATTTAAAAACTTTCTATAACCATATATATATATATATATATTCATATATTATATAGAGTTAAGAGATTCGACTATAACTTAAAAACCAATCTACTAAATATTAAACATATTGGGTTAAGAAATGAATGAATAAAACAACATACTAATATTACTCCCGGTTTGTAGGAAATATTATCTCGTAAGTAGACTATTATCGTAAAAAGAACAAATTTATACATCGTGATTGTTGACAACAGTCAACAATATCCAGCTGCCGTCGCCGGTGAATTCTGACGGCGGTCCGACTAATCCAGCAAGTCGAGTAAAACTTTAATAACCCACCAAGGTTTCGAAGCAATTCAATCCATCGAACTGTGGCGCCACCTTCGGAGGCGGCGGTGTCTTCTCCCCCTTTTGGTCGCGTTTCGCCGGAGAACTTCCCATCGACCGCATCCCGGCACCCCCAAAATCCTGAACAAGTTTAAACTCGTAAATTACAGCGTCGGATAGGTTTTTTTTTTTATTGAATACAATTTAGTTTCAGTTCAACATAAATTGAAAATTTTGATAATGACCTTGGTTTTTGAATTCCGAGCAAAAGTATAAATTCCGGCAGCGGCGGCAACAGCTCGGATCGCTGCATACATTGTAGCGGAAGCCATTTCGTTTCCGGCGGAGACTATAGGTTTCAAATAAGGTTGAAGAACGATGATTAAAGCAAAGGCAAAGGCGATGAGGGAATATTTACAAGCGGAGGGTTTATACATTTGAATTTTACTTTTAATATCTAAGAATGAGAGACATCATGGATTTCTATTGGATACGATAACAAGTTGTCCAGATATCCACAAGATTTTTGTTGATGTCCGAATTTGTAGTCATGTCTGCTTCTTTTCTTCACCAATGTTTAGCTCATAAAGATTCAGAGACTATAAATGAAGAGGATAAATCTTTTATGTTTTATCATCTGTAATTTAAAGAATACCCATTTATGTCATTGGAATTGAAAAAAAATGTCCCTTTTTTAGAGAAATTTGTTTATTAAGGGTATGTTTTAGGCCAATTTATTGGCATGATACTTTTTTAATTTTCTTAAACTGACATCAAACTATATTATTGATCAAAATAAAATTCTTTTGATAAAGGTGTGTCGCGTTGGAAGCACCTTCAAAAGGTGTAATTTGTAGGCCTCAATTTTACTTAAGGGACAAGATTTTTAGTGATCTCTTTCATGATGATGTCGTTTTGGACCAAAATGAAAAGAACTGAAAATAATGGATCAAAAATTATAGGAATTTTATTAAGAAGAAAATAAATGTGTGATGCATGTCAAAATATATATTTGAATGTATATGTATGATTTTATGTTAGGGACTCAATTTTTAAAATTTTTAGAAAGGGTGAACTTATATAACTCTATGGGACAAAAATAAATTATCAATAGAAATACAAATAAAAATCTAAAATTTATGATAATTTAAAAGTTTTAGAGGCGACTGTCCCAAGCCCCCCAAGTCCATCACTGTGTATATGAGCATGAGGTAACTAAAAGATGACAATGACATACATGTATAGGTTGTATTCAATCACTAAATGAATGCGTATTTGGAATATTATATTTAAGTGCTTTAAAAATATCCATACACAAATAATGTGAAATTTGAGAATATTACGACAAAACTTGTTGATTTTGATTTATCAAATATAATTTTTAAACTTTACTAGACTCGTATTAGTACGACATTCAAAGATAATTTTTGATATTGAATCTCGAGTATCTCATAAGGAAAAAAATTGTTTTTACTATCATATAGATCAAGTTTAAGAATTATCTTTGATAACTCAAAATTAACAAAATTTTCATATGATATTCTCAAATATTAATATATATATATATATATATATATATGAATTTTTAAGTATTTAAATATTATTTTTTAAACATACCCTCAATGAAGAATTGAAAATAAAATTTATACACGCGCACCATCATCGCGGCCTAACTTCTTGTGCAAATATGCTTCAAACATGTATTGCGCACATTATTTCTTAAATTCGTATAATTCTTGGTCTATTATTTTTGTTATTTTTATTTTTGTTTTGGATGATATCAGCATAAAATAGACCACTCAAAAACCTCGCCACGTAGGCAAGGACATACCATACAAAAATTGACTTTACTAAAAGAATATCATTTTTATCAATAATATTAACTAGATATCATTTTAATTATTCTTGAAAATGAATGATTTAAAATTTGAAGTATATTTGATTTTATAGTTAAAATTATATTTTTGTGTACGAGAAATAAAACAAATGGCAACTAAAAATCCCGATAATTGAGGGATACAACTTGTAATAATAACAAAAATAATAAGTCCGAAATGCTTCTGAGTACCACCCAAATCATAAGTCCGAAATGCTTCCGATGCTCATCAAAATCCAAAGCTCATATGGTGCCAAGCAAAAGGAAATCAAAATTCAAATCTCATATGGTGCCAAACAAAAGGAAATCAAAATTTACAACTTGAGTTTGAACATTGATATGATCTGTTCAGTTGTTATCATGTTGGGATTTTCTCTTGTTTGATTTTTTGGATAGTTGTTCTCTTGCTTCTTCAAGTGTCCTTAGCTTGTATTTATAGCTTGGAATGTGTTTGATGTTGTATATACCTTGATGTTGTATGTTGCGATCAACGCAAAAGTCAAATTCGCAACGCGGAAGTCAAATTCGTAAACCGAAAATCGCGTTGCGAATTTGACTTTCACGTTGCGAATTTGTACCTTCAACATGTCTTTTTTGCCTTCAAACATAATGCAGATTGAATTTTTTTAGAAATAACAAATCAACTTTTACAAATCAATTAAACAAGCAAAAAAATAATTCTTATTTACAAATCAAATTAAACAAACCAACTTTTACAAATCAATTAATCAAAAAAAAAAATCTTATTTACTCATCAATTGTAACAAATCAACTTTCAATGTAAAATTCAATTGTTTACAAAGAAAAAAAGTGTACCCCAGACTGTTGTTTATGCACAAATACATTTCACGCAGTTCACTTCAGGATTAACCTGCAGAAACCAAACATTTGCTCAAACAACACTTTCTACACATCTAAAACCAACAAACAACAAATTACTGAATTCTAGGTACTTAACCAAATATTTTCAAACCAATTAAAGAGTACTGAATTCAAATTTACCAATTGTTTATGTACAACTTTCAGCACGCAGATGCATGTAGGCAGCGTCTCGTATATATCGATATGGCCATATAATGCCGAAACCACAAGCCTACTGCAGCTCTATCTCTATCTGTGGGAGGTAGATATTGTATACTTCCTATCGTCAAACGTTCCAAGCACAAGCATACGAGAGGACCACAATCCCCTCTGGCTCCCTGCGTTTGTTGTGGCGCAGTCTCGTCTCTGATCATTGTAATTTTGAACTTCTTTGGCTTCTTGTTTTCAGATTTTGTCCAATAATCAATCGCATTCAAGTATTTAGCCAAATGATCGCTCCATCTCTTTGTAATAATATCTCTCAAATCAGACAATGGTATGTAATTCAACATGCTGTCATATACCACTGTCTTCAGGGATGGGAGCTGAAGCTCGACGAGAAGCCAATGACGATGTTCCAAAACAGGGATAAACACCTACAATCATAAATAATTACGCACATCAAATAAAATTTATGAAAACCTTTAAAATATTCAAAAAATAAATACTAACCTTATCGACCTCCCACCACGCAGGATAAAGTTTAGCTTTTCCATTAGCCAACTTATATGAAGCATCTCTCTAATCCTTCAAGTGAGCTGCGTGAAAAGACGTCGGTATAATAGTCCATCGAATACCTCTTTTCTTTAATTTTCTTATTATTAGAAGATGTGACACCCATGCATCAATATGTTGTTTTATAAAAAAATAAATATATTAGTGAATTTATTAATAATTTTAAAAAAATTATTCAAAATGCAATATAAGAAGAATATAATACTTACCCCCCTTCGAGGTAGCCATTATCTTCAACCTCTAATAAAATACCCCACCAAGACCGATCAAGAAACAAATGAATAGCATCGTCGATTTGGCATAGGTCAGAATAACACCCCTTGCTCCGCTCATGTAGATAAAAATCAACTGCGGTCTTAGCCCAAAGGGTATTATCCGTAATTGTGTCTGGTAGTGTTTCCATCTCATGCTGAGGAATGGTACTGGCCGGTAACTCATACGAAAGTCAACACGCATCCATCATATCGGGCACGAGAGGTGGTTTATCAATATGTCGACATATGACGCCAAATGAATCGAGCTCTTGAATGGCGGGCAGGACCACTTGAACGATGACAGAGACCTCTTGAACGGTGGGAGGGGCTTCTTTGATGATGATAGGGGCCTCTTGAACGATAGGAGGCGCCTCTTGAATGATGATAGGTGCATCGGGCTTATTCTTACGGAGTCTTGGCACTAGTGGGGTGAACGGAGACGTAATGGCACGTGCACGACGTCTGATGCGTAAACCCCATCGTACAAGAAAAACCCGACGTAAAGCATTTACCTTAACGGGCCGCTGAAAATAAATTAATATATAAATCAGTAAATAAATAAATAAATAATGCCGAAAAAAACTTATTTGCATTCTTAGTATAGTAGTAACAAATTTACCTCATTGCGTAGAGTATTAATCTCATTCTGCAACAATGAAACAATCTCGCGTAGAGAGGCAACCTCATCACGTAAGGTAGATACCTCACCGCGTAGCGCACCATTTTCATCGCGTAAAAAATCCACCTCACCACGTAAAGATTGAACCTCATCACGCCATACACCATTATCTTCACGTAAAGTACCAACCTCATGACGCAAAGCACCGACCTCATCACGTAATTCCCCTAACTCATCCCATAGAGGTAGAGAACAGGGAGATAAATGTCGTGGCCTCTTTGCCGGTCGCCTATCATGAGGTGATGGTGGAGAAGAGGCTCGATGATGTGATAGAATAGGTGACAGTGGAGGTGGAGAAGAGGCTCGATCAGGTGATGGCTCCGGGTGTCGAGCTGTAGAATCGGCCCGAATAGGTGATGGCTCTCGAGGTGGGGGGTGTTCATCATCCGTCCCATCAAAAAACCGCTTACTAGCTTGCCACTAATCAGTGGCAAGCTCAGCCTCTGTGGGTGTCAGCCTCTGTAATGGATAGTTGGCCACCTAACAATATAAAAACTCAAACAAAGTTAAACTTGTACTAGTAATAACTTGTTTATATATGGTATTATTTGTGTGTTAACTTACATCATTCATCATCGTATATGGGAGTAACTCTTCCCAATCCAACATGCGGATCCTCTTCCAGGTAATAGCCCTAGGAATATCATTTGATCTTTTTATCGCATATGTCCGCATGTTGGGGAAAGCCTCAAATATCCAAATCTACAAACAATATAATACATAAACATTAGTAATTGTTAAATAATTAATTATAATTTTGGAAACATTATAATATAGAAATTCTTACCTTAAAGGCCCAAGTAAAGCCTGTCAAAGTGTATTTAGAACTATCGCCCCGCAAACTTTTTCGGTCGTCAAAGGCAGACGACAACTTCTTCCAGATAGCTTTCCATAGATATGAACCCCACGGAAACAGGTTCCATGCATTTAGGTCCTCTACCAATAATATTAGGTCCTCGGAGATTGGTTGTTTGCCCTCTTTGCCTAAAAATCCGGCATGCAAAAGTAATAAATGGCATACTCGGACAACATCAATGTCATCCATCAGAGTAAAACCATCTTTATCAAATAATCTCTTCAAGTCTTCGACGTGTATACGCGGCTTCGACTTTGCCAGCTCAGGAAAAACCCGATATAACCATGATGGGCGGGCGATATGACTAGTGTACCGACTTACATCATCGTGTCCGAAGTGTAGACTGGTGATTAAGCAAAACTCCTCCCGCCCAAAACAAGTATACGCCGGTGCCAGAGGAAAATGAAACCATATCTCTTCATAACCACGTTGTACCCCCTCGGGTAGATCGTTAGTCATGGTCTGAAGAAACAAATGTGTCAACATAGCATCTCCACCCGGATGTTGTACTTTCAGCTATGGCCCGAAGCAAGTATCCTCAAATAATTTTCTTTGTAGAGGTTTAAGCGTCGACGCAATTTTAGTGGCTATGCTTAATTTATTCCTTAAGGTCAATTGAGCCGAAAAAAATTTCTACAAAAACAATAAACATACCAAGTTAGATATACCAAAAACTAAAAATTATACACTACAAACAGACATGTTATTAAACAGTGAAAACAAAGCCAAATATGTTTCAAACTAGCACGGTATTCACCCAAGTCATTATTTCATCATAGTTCACAAAATGCATCAGATAACATTCCAGAAGTAAGCACTTATATAAACATTTAAAAAGACAACATATAGGTTTAGTGCAGGTTCAAGGACAACATAAAGAGTAGTAGTTTATTCTTGAAACTTAAGTTAGCAACATTGTGAAGTTAGTATTTGTCTTTGTTTTTTGGTTGAAGTAATACAATTCATTCAAGTTTCAATTTGGCGAATAAAAGAAGTTTCTGAAACTTAAATTCGCAACGCGATTTTAGTTTCGCGTTGCGATTTTCATTTTCGCGTTGCGATTTTCATTTCGTGTTGTGATTTTGGTGTTGCGATTCAGGGTTTCTTCAACAAAAAGACAAAACAAAAAGACAAAACAAAGACAAATACTAACTTCACAGGGTTAAAGACTTAACAGTTTAGCAGTATTGGTAGTAACCGAATGAATTTAGCAATCTCAGTGAAATGGTTAATCTAATAATAATACAAAAATTTCAAAATAAAAATAAGAGATTAAAAAAACTAACCCTCGGTGGTTGATTTTCCATTTCCGACCGTGAATGGTTGTGAGGGTTGATATGAGAGATGGAGATAGACGGATTTCGTCGGAAATGAGGACGGATTTCGTCAGAGATGGGGACGGATGTCGCCGTAGAGAGTGAGAGATGGAGATGAGATTGAGTTGTACTTTAGGGTTTTAGGTTAGAGATGATTTGCGATAATACTGTTTACATTTGTATTGCGAAATTAATATTGTGTTTCGCATAAAACCATTTGACTATCGCGTTGCGAATTTGACTTATGTGTTGGGATTTACAAATTCGCGTTGCGAATTTGGAAAATCGCAATGCGATTTACATATTCGCGTTGCGAAATTGGAAACTGAGTTGCGAAATTTGAGATCGCGTTGCGAATTTATTGGTCATTTTGGTAAATACAAAAAAAATTAGTTAAATTCGTATATTATAAAGTTTATTTTCTCTTTTAGAAATTACGATGAGTTTTCTAACGTGGAGCCAAATTATAAATTTCGATTTTTTCCAACCATACTCCCTACAGTTTGATACTAATGGATAAACTTTAGTTGCAGAATCCCATCGCCTGTCACCGGAACAATGAACTCCTCTCACTTCCATTACCACTCAACCTTTCCCCTACTTTTCGCCGTTCTCTTGGCGTTTCCATGGCTGATCACAGCCGAAGCTCAGACCCACGAACAGTTCCTTCATTGCCTTTCACTTCATTCAAACGAGTCATCCTCCATTTCCAAGCTCATTTACTCTCCAAACAATCGTTCTTATTCATCGATCTTGGAATCTTCGATTCAAAATCTCAGGTTCGACACGGCGGCCACCCCAAAGCCTTTACTCATCGTTACACCTTTCCATGCATCCCATATCCAAGCAACGATTCACTGTTCGAGAAGCCACGGGTTGCAGCTAAGAACTCGAAGCGGCGGCCATGATTTCGAGGGACTTTCGTATGTTTCTGAAGTTCCGTTCGTTCTCGTCGATTTAGTTAATCTCCGATCGATTGATGTCGACGTCGAAAACGGCGTTGCATGGGTTCAGTCCGGAGCGACATTAGCTGAACTGTATTACAGGATCAATGAGAAAAGTAAAACGCTTGCTTTTCCGGCGGGTACTTGTCCTACCATAGGTGTCGGTGGCCATTTCAGCGGCGGAGGGTACGGCGCGCTTTTTAGAAAATACGGTCTCGCCGCCGATAATGTTATCGATTCTCACGTGATCGATGCTGACGGAAGAATTCTCGATCGAAAATCCATGGGAGAAGATTTGTTCTGGGAGATCCGAGGAGGTGGCGGAGGTAGTTTCGGGATTGTTCTCGATTGGAAACTAAAGCTGGTTCCGATTCCACCAACCGTGACCGTCTTCTCAGTCACCAAAACCATGGAACAAAACGCTGCTCGACTCATCCATCGATGGCAGTACGTGGCACACAAGCTTCCTAAAGACATATTCCTCGCCGTCTTCATATCAACGGTAGACGAAACAGTTCAAGCTTCTTTTACCGGGATGTTTCTCGGGCCGGTCGACGAACTGATTTCGCTTACCGGAACAAGGTTTCCTGAGCTCGGCCTCGCTAAACAAGACTGCATCGAGACGAGTTGGATTCAAGGTCTCTACATGGGTCAATTTCCAAATAACACTTTGGAAAATCTGCTCAACAGGACAGAGGCCAACAAAAGTTCGTTTAAAATCAAATCAGATTACGTGAAAGAACCCATACCAAAGTCTGTATTTCAAGAGATTTGGCCAAAATACTTCAACAAAGAAGAAGGAAGATACGGTTTAATTACTTTGATACCTTATGGTGGGAAAATGGATGAGATTCCAGAAACCGAAACCCCATTTCCACACAGAGCTGGAAACATGTACAAAATCATATACGCCATTGGTCGAGAAGAAGATGGAAATCTGGATTTTGAAAGGTACTTGGTTTGGATAAGGGGACTTTACGATGACATGACTCCCTATGTTTCGAAATCTCCGAGAGAGGTGTACGTGAATTACATGGATTTGGATATTGGGGTTAACAACAGATCAGGCAACACGAGTTATGCAGAAGCTAGCCTCTGGGGTTTGAAATATTTTAAGAACTTCAAAAGATTGGTTCGTGTGAAGACATTGGAGGATCCTCAGAACTTCTTCAAGCACGAACAAAGCATCCCATCTCTTTCATCATCTTAGAAGAAGAATGAGAGTGTACCGTGATATCTTAAATTTAAATAAAACTACTGATGTTTAACTTTTTTTTTTGGTTACAATTTTTTAAAAAATGACCAAAAATCATATAATGCTCACCCATAAGTGTCATTTAAGTTATTGCCAACACCAAGTTCAGTATCACAAGATTTCTAAGGAGTTTTTTCCGAAAAATCACCGGTGACCGGTATATTTATCGATCTAACATCGGTCAAACTATATTTTTCGATCTAACACCCTTAGCAGTAAAGTGTACCCCTGCACCGCGCTATATGCTGATTTGACGCCATGTAGTGTAAGACGCGCTACCTGAAACGTGCCTTATGCTGACATGAATACACGTGGGTATAACGCGACCCCTAGGGCGCGCCTTACCTTTATTGGATTCTTTTTCCCAAACTATGCGGCAAGGTTTCTTTATCTATGGGTATAGATCAGCCAAATCTGAAATTTTGTAATGGGACAAAATTGAAAACATTTTATGTTTTGTTTGGATTTGTGTGGGAAACGGGCCAACCAAACCAACCAAAACCTTGATAACAATGAAAGATATAAAATTATATATTAAATTAAAAAAAAAAATCTCATTTGACCCTTTCATTGTAACTAAAAAATTATTTTTTAGATTTTTCAACATTTTCAATTAATAATTTTAATTATTTTTTAGAAATATATAGAATTCAAAATTCATTCTTAAAATTATAAAATATTTTTTTAAATTATAATTTTTTGAACTTGCTAATTCATCAAATTAATTTATAAGTATTTTTTATTTAGTTATGATTAACTTTGTAAAATTTATCATTTATAATTTTTTATATCCAATAATTTTAATTATTAAAAATGAAGTTAATTTTTTATTACACAAAGTGGTTCAGTTAATTAATTTTTATTTAATAAATTTAAATATAATTTTAAGAATATATTTACACAAAGTAATTAATTATTGTTGCCGATAAAAGAAACGTTGGTAATGATTAGATTTCCCGATTTTAACGCATTAATAATACTTTTAGGTTTCTTCTTGCTAGCCTCTTGTCTATACTAAACTATTAACCAATTTATCAGAAAAAGGAAAAAGATCGGGCCCAATAAAGGTGAGGCGCGCCCCAGGGGCCGTGCTATTCCCTTACATGGCCCATGTCAGCATAAGGCGCATTTAAGGGGCGCGCCTTATCCCACGTGACGCTAAATCAGCATATAACACGGTGCAGGGGTGCGCTTTACTTAGGGATGGCAATGGGTCGGGTTCGGGCTGGGTATTGGTCCTCCCGTCCCCATCCCTGTTTAAAAAACACATACCCATCCCCACTTAAAAACCGCAGGGATTTAAACGGGGATCCCCATCGGGTAATTGGAGAAAAACGCGGGGAAACGGGTATCCCGTTTAACTCAAATGATTATTTAAACGGGTATCGGACCGGATATATATATATATTTAAATTAAATATATAAATATTATATATATTTTTTAATTTAAATTAAATTTATTAATGTTATATATATATATATATATATATAATAATAATTATTTTTAATATTTATCGGGCCGGGTATCGGGCCAGGTAATCGGGACGGGGATTACCAAACCCATCCCCGTCCCCATCCCCGTTTAGCATAAACGATTTTCTCCCGTCCCCGTTCCCGTTTAGCATAAACGGTTTTTCCCCGTCCCCGTTTAATTCGGTTTTCCCCGTCGGGTTTGGATTTTTTTGACATCCCTAGCTTTACTGCTAAGGGTGTTAGATCGAGAAATATAGTCTAATCAGTGTTAGATCGATAAATATACCGATCACCGATGATTTTTCGAAAAAAACCTCGATTTCTAAAGGGTCAAACACCAAGCAAAGATGACTAATATTTAAAACCAAAAAGAAAAGAAATGGTACCATAAAAAAAGGAAGATAGAACTGGGTTTCATCATCCACCTGTTTTACATAAATCCAGGCAACATACCACAAAAACTCCATTAATACCTACATAGTCATCTTAGATCGGTATCCGGTAATACTCTTCTTATATATGATGATGGGACATGATTTCCCCTCAAACTCCATTCATCCCAGCAATGTAGAATTTACAGACATAATGTATGCATATCAGTCATTAACTGGTTAGGCCTGAAAATATAATCGGTCAGATAAATGGGTGATTATAAACAACAATTTCAAACCAGTCATCCAAAATAGATATGGTTAACGATTCTCTTTTAAAATACACCCTACAGTAAAATCATTGCAAGTCCTAAATTACATGCACGGTGTTAATATATGTATGGAATCAAGCACCATCACCAATTTGCTAGTTCGCATGAGCCCCATAAACACATGCCACCAAGACAGACATGGGCATAACATCGAATATAATCAGAATTAGCATAACTTATCAGGTGACCCTGACCCTGAGCTTGACCTGAATCTTGCCCTGAGTCAATGAATAAAAAAGGGATGGAAAGTGTTTTCATAAAAGGTAAGATAAACAACAAAACTGGATATAAAGCAAAAAGGCAACAATAGGCTGAGCCCCAATTACCTGGATGACTTAACAGGCGAGGCAGATTTGGATTTAACTGGAGGTTTGGATGCAGATCGTTCCCTTGATTTACTGAGTATGGCAACGAAAATGGGTTAAGAAAACGGAGGCTTAACATGCATTTAATTATTTTTTGAAGGAAAAAAATGAAAAAAAAAAAGACTGAAAAGAGAAGGAAAAAAGAGTTTATACCTACGATCTCTTCTAACGCTGCGGCTTCTGCTTCGGCTCCTGGATGGACTGCTCTCGTACCTCTTCACCTATCCAAATAGATGAACAAATAAGCACTACAGGTTTATCATAACGAAACACGAATTTGAAAATTCCACAGTCGAAATAACGAAAGGATAAACAATTTCCACAAATAATGTCGCTGGATCTATGCATTCCAAATTATGAAGACCACAATACCAGAAATCCTTTGCTATTATAACTAACGGGAATTGTAACACCCCAAACCGATGCGGGTAGCCCGATCCGATTCGGGAAGTCACATTAGGGCCACCGGAGCGACCCACCGTAAAAATAGCGGAAATTTTAAAACTTTTTATCAGAACATGTAAACTTATAAAATCATTTATCACTATTTAAAAATAAAACAGATTTCCAAACTCGTATATAAATCAAAATACAATTACATGCCCCCTAATCACAAGTACCATACTCTGCAACCACGCCGGAAGAACTCCCTTAATGAAGTCGATAGATGCACTGGTACAATTGTTTTAACCTGAAAAGGTGAGTAATAGAGTGAGCTTTGGAAAGCTCAGTAATACAGAACTACCAGATGATGCTACATGACATGTAGATAAATGGAAAGCCATATAATTTCCTTATTGAATCATATGTATACCAGCTTGCAGAATAATTTGGGGTTCCCTTAGAAGTTCATCGAGTAGAAGCCATGAATCTCAGTTCATAAGAAACCTTTCAAAGTATGACATTTTCAGGAGATCGAATAGGATGTCTAGTGTGTTCCAACAGTATAATAAAATCATAATAGGTACAAATCATAGTCCAGTAAATCTCACAATTTCGTAAAAGAGTTTAACTTTTGAAAATCATAGTTTAAACCCTTTTCTGGTACACCATCAGTAGTTCCCAAAATTATTTTCCATATAGCTTACTTTATGCACATAGCAAAAAGAAAGCCGACTTAAGGATAAGCTATGAAGCTTGTATCCTTAAGCCCAAGTCAATAAGTCCATATAGCTTACCCTAAGCACACAGCAAAGGAAAGCCGACCTAATGAAACATCTTGGGGCCCTCAAGAGTCACATTAGGCCCATTTAGCTTGATCAGAGCTATTCCATCGTAATTCAATTCCAAAATTCAATTGCACCGTGACATAAATTCCATAAATCCAAAAACATGGTAATCATATACCATTTCAAAACAAAAATTAGATAGCAGCCATATTCCATAAATTGTCACATTAAATTGGTGCATCCATAAAACAATAACCAATTAATTCGGTGTACCACATATTAAAACCAATAAAACAGTTCAGTAATAAGTAGGGAACACACTAGAGAATCCCAGTATTTCCAGAGGCCATTGTAGTTATCATTTTGGATAACATGAAACTTATGAAATTTGATCGAATTCCTGGAACAAGGTCCTATTGAGGAGAATCGATTACTAACCGATCTAGCCAGACATTTAATGTTGATACATTAGAATCCCACTATATTTTCGTGTGCTTTAGGAAAACGTTCAGGAACCTTTATACATAATAATTCTAAATTCAGATTTACTGCGAGTGATTCCATTACCCAAACAATCAGGGGTATTCAGGAATATACTTTAAATTCATAGGATTTCAGCCCAATTGAACCAAATGAGATATTCAGAATCTTTTCCATCTGCGTTACTTGTTTTTTTTTTTCAAACATGACCGAAGTGATTTTAGATGAAATATAGAATCAAAGATTCAAGTCATTTACAATCTACGACTATCGATCATATTATCAAACAACTCGAGTTACATAACTCTCAAACTGATGCATGTCAACAAGTCAATTCATTATCCTTCCAGTGTATTCACTCTTTAATACCATAGTGCAGATCCATAGATCATCCCCATAATCATCACTGAATAAATCTTCCAACGGTCTTTATTTCATTTCCACGTTTCAACAATATCAGGAAATACTGACGTACTTGATCCATGGCTCATAACCCATAATGACAATTCATCATGTAAGTTCAACAGTGTTTCCAAACTCATCAAATCACCTATTTAATCCTTACTCATTGATGTTACTTAGTTCGTTTGGTAAGCAAGTCTATCCCGATTACTTTAAAGTTTTCCAGAATAATTCAGACGTTTCTGAATTTCAAATACACGTTGTACTACATTTCATTTCAATTTATTCATATAATAAAGTCATTCTGGTATTCGTGGTTGATTTGACTAACGACTACCCACTTATTAGTACTGTATGCGCTCTAGAGTTGAGATGCGCCAAGTACTTCCAAAATTATCATCGATCCAAATTTGAGCAGATGAACAAACATTCAAGTGATACTTATATCATTCAGGTAATGATATAGTACTAACGTTGGTTAATCACTTAAGTTGCGTTTAACAACTTTTACTGGTAGCACAACATCCATGTTTATTTGGATTTCTTAATTAATCCAAGACATTTACTTATTCTAGGTCATAAGGGCATTTTGGTGCTTAACATTTTTTTCTATTCATTTCAAAGCTTGAGTATATCCATTCATTCCTGAGCTTGGTGACATTCTTGAGTTATTTCCATTCCAGGGGTAATTTGGTCATTTTATAATTCTAGAATATTTCAATCATTTCCTTCCATCCGGTCTTATTATTTAATTCAATCTTATCATTTACTTCAGTCCTTTCGAACAATTCTGTCAGCAGAATACCTCCAATAAATTACTCTTCAAGTATTTACTCCTTATTCGAATATTTTCGGGTCAAGTGTCTTCTCAGATTTTACAAACGGAATATTATAAATTTTTCTGTACAAAGACAGGATCTTAACAATTAAATTCGTACTTAATCGAGTTAAGTACAAATCCTCAAAGTACTCTCTCATTCAGGGTCAATTCAGACTATTTTATCTCTCAATGGCATTTTCGTAATTTCTTAACCAAATAATTTCAATATTAGCACTTAACGAAAATAATTATAATTTAGAGATCCTATGATCAATTGTTTTCCCGAACATTCTTTGATTTTGAAACGATTCCTTCACAAACTCTCATAGGATTAAAACCGGTTATCCATAATTTCCAAATAAAACTAACATTTCTTATGCACATCAGTAGTTATATCGGATCAATATGTCTTTTCAGAGTTATTAACCAACTTCCAGGGGCAATTCTTATCATTTTCCAACATAAGGGTAATTTCGTAATTTTACCATATCGAAGTATTCTCATAATTTTTCATCCAAGTATCTTTAACATTTAACCCTTGATGATATAAAATATAAGTTACAAATGCAGAGCTGATTTCTTTATCACCAATCACAAACTTGTAATTTAATTCTAACAATTATCAATCTCTTATCTTAGTCATTCGATCCGTATTCAGTTACAGAATTTCTACCACATTCATATCGAGTGAATAAATTATTCAACTCCACAAAAGTGACCAACATTATCTTATTCATGCATTTACCAATATCAACATGTTCCATAAAGCATAAAGAGGTAGTAAAGTATTACCTCGATTTTCGTGCAATACCGATCGACCATAAAAATTCCATTCGAATGCCTTTGATCTTCAATTCAACTTCAAATAATTTCTCAGATACATATCAACATAAATTATATCAGAAACGGAGCTTAATTGCGATAAACGGATCAAATCGGGTGATAAATCAGTGAAAGACGGCTTACCGGGTTCGAATTTGGCGAAACGGACTTCGGATTCGGATTCAGGACGTCGAAAGCATAAAATGTGACTTTTCGGAAATTTGGAATTTTCAGTCAAAATCAAATTCAACGGGTTTGACCGGATATTTCGAGACCTTCGGGTTCTAATTTCGAAAAACGAACAGCGGAATCGGATTTGGAACGTCGAAAAATGTCAGGATAGGTATACTCGGTCGAAGTCAAAGGTCGTTTAATGCCCGGTCAAAGCCAGTCAAAGTTTTGGTCAACAGTGGTCAACGACGATCAACGGGTCAACGGGTCGAGTCAACGGGTCGGGTAAACGGGTCGGGTCGGGTAAACGGGTCGGGTCGGGTTGTGACCGGTGAAACCGGTCAACTATGCACCAAAACCGGTCAAACCAGTCATTTTTTTCTTCCCCACGCGCAGTGGCGGCGCGTGGGGGAGCGTGAACAGTGCTAAAATCCCGGAAAAATTTCTAAAAATTATTTTGAGCGATTTCGAGATACTTACAAAGCTCGGTTCACAATTTTGAACGGCAGAGAGCTCGATTTCAACAAATCGAAAACTTTGACTGCTTCACCTCCTCACGCGCCGCCGTCGACGGAGACCAAGGATGACACCGGCAAACTGGGAACGATGCAACGAACACGATGGTGCGGGAGGTGTCGTAAACAGATGACCCGATCGTCGTGAATCTATGAAAAACCAACTAAAATCGAGTTATTACCGACAATACTTCCGACTGAAATTCACGACGAACGGCGATGATTCACGAGGAAAGGTTTGAGGGGTTTTGTTCCTCGATTGACAACGAACACGATGGTGGTTTCGGCTCGTCGTTTGGGGGTCGGACGACAAGTAGATCGGAGTTGGAAGTTGGGTTGTTGGAGAAGGGAAATCTGGAAAATATGAAACCCGCGCACGGGGAGGAGCTTATAATTCATCATATATAAGAAATGGTTAAATCATGGGTTTAGCCACTGAATTTCCTGCACTTTATAAAACGGTCTGCCAACTTTAAAACTTTACAATTTAATCCCCAATGTTTCTTTCAAAATATCAATTAAATCCGCCACTTTATAATTTCTTAATTTTAGCCCCTAAATTGGGGTGTTACAATTCTCCCCTCCTTAAAAGAATTTCGTCCTCGAAATTCATTCATGTCACATAATTGTAGAAATGAAACTTTCATCAACTCTTCCATATCTTCGAGTAGCTTTTTATAGAAATACGGATTCTCCACTAATCCTTAACCAGTTGAGTATACATTCTTATCAGAACTCTTCCTCATTTCAATAAAAGAATCTGAACGAAAATTTTCTCGAGTAATCAATCTCTTCAGAATTCTCCCTCAGTCCAAGTAAGTAATCAAAACAACTTTATCCTTGTGAAATCAATTCAGCCTTGGTTACGTGAATATGCTCGTAGAGCAGCAACATATCTCAATTTTATTTCTGGAGT